AAGCGGCTTGTCATCCCTACAGCCTTAAGAAATGACGTTCTTGAGAAAATTCACCAAGGACATCAGGGCGTGGTAAAATGCAGAGAGTGGGCGCGGCAGAGTGTTTGGTGGCCAGGCCTGAGCCAGCAAATAAACGAGATCGTTCTCAACTGCCGGACCTGCATCAGCGAACGCACAAACCACACAGAGCCTCTTCTCCCTTCGGAACTTCCGGATCAACCCTGGCAAAAGTTGGGGGCAGATTTGTTTTCTCTTAAAGGCAAATCATATCTGTTGGTGGTGGACTATTACTTAAGGTATGTTGAAATTGCAAGCCTCACTCTCACTAAATGCACTGATATTACAGTCCATCTTAAATCCATGTTTGCGCGCCATGGAGTGCCTGAAACCCTAGTGTCTGACAATGGGCCGCAATTCTCAGGGGCCACAATCGCAGCCTTTGCCGCAACTTACAGGTTCCATCATGTGACCAGCAGCCCGAGATATCCAAAAAGTAACGGAGAAGCTGAACACGCGGTTCAAACCATGAAAAACCATCTTAAGAAAGCCACTGATCCATATCTTGCCTTGCTGGCATACAGATCAACGCCACTACGGAACGGCTTTAGTCCTGCTCAACTACTGATGGGACGGCAGCTTCGTACGATGGTGCCTATCCTTCTGTCGCTGTTGGACCCAGCGCTGCCGTGCAGCACTGCAGTCAAATTGAAGGAGGAAGAGAGAAGGAGTACCGATCAGAGAGAATTACAACTAGCGTCATCGAGTTTCTGATCTCAGCAGTCTCTCACCCGAGCAACAGGTGTGGGTGACTGATGCAAAGTCGCTGGGACTGTAGTGAATGAACATTCAACACCACGATCCTACATTGTGGACGTGCCTCAGGGAACTGTACGTAGAAACAGGCTCCACCTTATCCCTATGGACAGACCTGAAGACAATGTCGATACAAGTATCACTCAGAGCCCATGCAAACGCACATTCCGGTGTCATCCCCAAAGTCACTAACACCTGGGCCTAGTCCTGAGAATACTGTTCGAAGGCGATTTGGCAGAATAGTAAATAAGCCCATTAAATTGGACTTGCGAAAAAAAAAGATGAACATGTTTTGAAATAAAGTATGTTGGGGAAAGCGTTCTTGAAGTAAATGTGCTAATGTGTATCCTGTGTATGGGATATGGAAAATGTCTGACATGGATTTTTGTAAAAGGGGAATTGTTCGGACAGTGTTGTTTAACTGGAGAAGAATGCGGTTGTGACCATGTGACTTTGCCTTAGGTATGTTTTGAGTTTGAGCAATGGTTTAAGTTAATGGCAAATGCTGATGTATAAGCCAGAAGTAAACAAAAAAGCATAGTGACGTTTTTGCTTTTTGTTTACCTAAAAAGGGGAGATGTGGTGTAATCGTATTAAGGTTAATACAGTAATGGCATCAGCCCTATGGGGGAGGGATTACATTGGGGGTCAGGAATGCGGATGCATACACTCTGCATGGCATGTTCTGGTTGTCGAGCACGTGTTCGGGGTCCTTAATAAACTGCATAAACTTACTTGCACTTACTTTAAGTAAATCCACGCATGCATAAAATAGCAAGACATGACATGGTGTCAGAAGTGGCTTCGGGAAGTGTGGAAGAGTAGTTTTACTGTGGTCGAAAGAAATTTTGGCTTCAGGTGGCGCTAGTGTCAACCTACATGGAGGTCCCAGGATTTTTTTAACTTCAAGTTTCAGTCCACCAACTCAAGTTTCAAGAATAATTGATAAAAACTTGGGACCTCCATTTAGGTTGAAATTTGGAGCAGTCAAATTTGTTACCGCTCAATTCGGCACTGAAAAGTGGTTGTGGTTTGCTCAGCAGGGGAGGGGTTAATTACCAAAGTAATGACTGATTTTCCTATTCCCAGCCCCAAACTCAATAATTATGAAGTATGAAGCCATTTGGAGAAGGTGAGTTGACACCCTTGGGCTGATCTTAGAAAAAGGCACTCTTAATTTTTATCGCGGCAATGAGTGTGCAACTGCTCTTCCCCGCAAATATAGCCTATTGTTTTGAACGCTGAAAACAGTTTGATTAAAGAGCAATCTTAAATAAATAAGATTGCACTTGCATAAATTACATTGCAAGGGTGAAAATAATTGCTATAACGGCTTATGGAATTCAGTGAAAGAACTGGATTTTTTATTTATTTTTTTTCCATCCTTACAATATCTCTATTAAGTCGTGGTCAGTATAGCCCATTGGTAATCACTGTAATTTTTTAATAATTTATTACAGGAACAGCTTGAAAGCAATTATGTGTCTCAGGGTCAGAGGCTCACTGCACACCACTGAAAACCCCGTAGCGCTGGAGTTACCGCTAGGGGGACATTGGGGTTTAGGAAATAAAATTAAGGGGGAATTACTTTTTCACATAGGGCCAGGCAAGGCTGGGTAGCTTCTTTCCTTCAATAAATGTAATAATTTAAAAGCTGAATTTTTTGTATTCCTTGGTTTATTATTGTCTAATATTGAAGTTAATTTGATGATCTGAAACATTTAAGTGTGACAAATCTTAAAAAAAAGGAGAAATCAGGAAGGGGGCAAATACTTTTTCACAGCACTGTATTTAGTGCATACACGCGCACAGATTTAGATTTTCTTTTGGGCCCCATCCACAGCAGTATATTGCCCAGTTTCTGTGCTGCTTCACCCAGCTGGGACCATGCTGACTGCCATCGACTATAGGTAATGTACCAACTAAGAGTAAGTACAGGCCCAATTCAAAAAATTCGAACTAACCCTTTAAGGGTTGCACTAATGACCCCAGTATTTCAGGAATACACACTATTACTGTCAAAAAACATGTTTTATATATATAAAATTAATCTGAGTAAATGCTTGCAGTTTCACCATATGTTACAGTTGTAAATGTGAGTCATTAGGTTTATTTTATGCAGTCATTTTCATTGAATGTGCCTATAACACTTCAGTTGACTGTATATGTCATACTAATAATATAGTGATTAATGTGGCAGTAGTCTATCAGGTATTTACTGTTGATTGCTTATACTAGTGATGAAAGGGAACTGGAATGACATTTTTATTCTCTGTGCCCCATTGAGAGGAACATAGTGTCTAGTTCAAGATTTTGGGGATTCAAGAACCTTTTAACTGATGGGTAAGTCATTTAAGACAGTTGCACTGCAACAATGAATGTGATGAATTAAGAAAAAAAATGAATCGTGGCCACAGTGTTTTTGCTTTATTATTCTTGAAAACTTTGCCAAAGAATATGAAAATCTGGCCCTTCCATCTAAAACCAGCCCTGACTTTCTTTTTTCATGGCCTCTTGGGTAATTAACTAAACAGTTAGCACAGCTGACTGGCCCAGCTAACTTCACAACAAACTCCCAGGTAAAGGGAGGATGGAACACCTGCAGTTTTCTGGTCTTGAGGACCATGACATGAGGAACAGGGCCATAGCCCTTAATTTTTTATTTTAGAAATTGATGGTTGCCACAGCAAAACACTGCACCACTTCACAGTGTAATTAGTGATAGTGTAATTCAGTTAATATCTGATAAAGTTTGAAACTTGTGCTTAGCAGAGGCAAGCTTACTGTAAGGGTTTGGCCTTGCAGTCTCTCCCCCTGTTGCATTCTTTCACCTCCACCTTGACGGGCAACAGGTGCAGCCCGTTAAGGTAGAGGTGATTGCAGAAGTATAAAGGGCTGGCTATTCCCAGTCCCCAGTGCCTCTGCATTCTTGTTTGGTGCTGCATTCTGCGTTTTAAGCTCTGTTTTGTTTAATTTTATTAATTAAACTTTTCAGTTCTTTTTACCAGCATGAGTATTTGGGTCTCCTTCTCTGCTTTTGGGCCCATGGTCCCAGTGCCCGCCGGACTGCAGTTAGCATCCGGTGGGACAAATCCATGACACTTACAGGGCATCACTACCTCCCATTAATGGTGTAAGCTGCTATTCTCAGAGAGCTTTAATGACTCATGACCAGTCAGTTGTGTGTTAGCTGCTATTCTCAACAGAGAGCTATAATGACTCATGACCAGTCAGTTCTGTGTTAGTTGCTATTTTCAACAGAGAGCTTTAATGACTCATGACCAGTCAGTTGTGTGTTAGCTGCTATTCTCAACAGAGAGCTTTAATGACTCATGACCTGTCAGTTGTGTGTAAGCTGCTATTCTCAACAGAGAGCTTTAATGACTTATGACCAGTCAGTTGGTGGCTGACTCTCATGAATTGCACTCACACTCAAGTTGCCAAGTTGAGTGCGTGAAATGTTAAGTCACTAGTATTTAGCTGTGCTGATGAGAAGGTATTCGCTCATGGCAGTGTGATTGACTCAGGGGAGCAGTGTTTATCCAAGGAAGTGTGATTTGTGCCGGAACTGTATCTAGTTGTAAAGCAGCCAGTTATTGTGGCCCCTGCACATAAATGCTTGTGTTATTAGCTGTGGATTGTGCAGGTGGTGAATAATTCATGGCATACTGATTAATGCTTGAATTTCGATGAAGTCTCACATTCTGCCCTCTCCCTCCAAATCACCACGGATGAAACTGTACCACAAAATTGAAAACAGGCAAATGAAGCAGCGGGTTGCTCATTCATTATTTATGAGGCGCCAGACATCTGCCATTTTGTGGCATGGTGATTAATTTCTTCATGGCCGGTGCTGCGCTGACAAGATCGATCGACGCTCAAAAATGTGCAATTCTGCCTCCTTTTTGACACAATCAAACGTATATTCTACAATCTGAAGCTAAGAAGCACAGTTTGAGGAGCTCGCCCAATCCCCTGTGTATTTATTTCATCTGACACAGTTCAAAGAAAGGGCGACAGGAGGGTCTCGCCCATTTTTATGAGATGGAAAAAAGAATGCTGAACAGTATTTCAAATCGTGTCATTTTTCCAAATTGCTGAGTGAAAATGTCAGTGAGTGGTTTGATTTGAATGTTAAAGACTAGCTGATGCTCAAAATTTTGTCAATCTGGAATGACCAGATGGGCGGCACAGTGGTGCAGTGGTTAGCACTGCTGCTTTGTAGCAAGGAGGTTTTGGGTTTGAATCCAGCCTGGGGCCTTTCTGTATGGAGTTTGCATGTTTTTGCCATGTTTGTTTGGGTTTGCTCCAGGTGTTCCAGTATTCTCCCACAGTCCAAAGACATGCATATCAGGTTAATTGAAGATGCTAAATTGCCCATGGGTATGAGTGAATGGTGTCCGCGCGCCCTGCGATGGATGGGCAAGCTGTCCAGATGGGTCCCTGTCTTTTTCCCCATAGTCAGCTGGGATGGTCTCCGGCTCCCCCCACGACCCCAGTGATGAAAAAGCAGTATAGAGAATGGATGCAATAATCATATGAGAACTTAAAATATATATTCTATAAAAATACATTTCTTTCCGCTTCCTCAAAAAGTACTTTACATATAATTTGACATCATTGTGTACCAGCCCACATGGCCTTAATAAAATATCACAGTCAACTATGAATTCCCCTCCAATCAACACTCTTTATCACCTGTTTAAATCCATCTCATAATGTATGCACATTCAAATTTAATGTCAATCAAACTGACTCCCCTCCATTCAAACAATTTTATACACTTTGCTAAAGCAATCATAACTGACACAAAGTGCCATGGTGTCAATATAATCGCATAACAAAATTAACAGAATAACCAATTACATTTTCTCACAAAACATAATTATTAAAACCTGATTTAAGCATATTTATCAACCAAACAGATTAAAAAAAAATGGAATTGGGTGGAAAAACTAAAAAAAAATTCAGATTTTAGTAGCACTTAAAGCTGGAGTTTCCAATTTTTCAAAAAATCACTTTTTGTCATATTTGTTAAAACTGTTATTATGACCTGACAGTGGGATGGGGGTCAGATGATCTTTGAGAAAATCAGAGTCATCTGGCTCTATCTAGTGCTTCCAATTCCTTCTGCAAGATTTCACCGCGACCGGGACATAACAAACAATCAGAGCCAGGAGGAGTGACTGACGATGACCATCATTTCTCATGCACACGCAATTCAATCAGCTGTGTAGCCTAGTTGTGGGTGTTTCTTTACAGCTGGACAAACGCTAGCCAGCATAAGCACTGCCATTTCTCACGGACTCCCATATTTGTGAGTTCAAACTTGAGAAGTTGAGAGCGGGAGTACAAATTTCCAAGAACGCGAGGACACGGTAAGCTGAATCTGCAGTTTGAGACAGTTGCGTTCTTGTCTACTTAACATTTCAGCACGAGAATTTATTTGTTCACCTTTCTCACAATTTTAATATTGTTAAAAATAAACAGTTATGTGCTTTTTCCTCGGCGGATGCTGTTGTCGCTGACTGTCACCAGAGTATGCTGTCACCAGGGGCTCTGCTGTCACATTAGCTGCAACAACCATAGGGAAAAAGCAGGTTACACTTGCTGCCCATAGGCGTTACAAGCTCGGCTCATAAATAATAACTTCGCTGGTAGTTGGTTGCTAACGCAAGTGGGTAGCTGGTAGATACATCGTATATCACCACAGATGTATTTCTGGTTACAAAACCTATGTTTTCATATTTAATAGTCGACATTTCTCGTCTCGTTTTACAAAATATCAAGTCATAAACCCCAAACTTATTAATTTAAGACAGACTTTCCCGGCTGGATCTCTTCAGGTCAGTGGGAAGCCGCTCGCATTCTGCCACCCGGAAGTATCTTGGTGCATATTGTTAACAAACATTCTGAAATGCCATATAGCTTCATATGTAAGACGTCAATGGCTACAGTAACACTCCATTGAGAATATCTCATGTTACAAACATTGTGCTCGCGGCTGACGGTAGCTTGTTTCCAGTGCTAGCTCAGTGGCTAGCTGTGTTTTATACATAATATGCTGTAACTATTTCTAATATGACCAGGTAGTCGTATTGGTTTGGTCTTTGACCTGAGGCCACATTCATAGGATACTTGTTGATGGTAAAATGTTGATATTTCGCTGTGTTTGCACCTAGCGTTCACACAGCTCTGCTGACGATTCAGACATAGGACACTGCATCCAGGTAACGGAGTAAGAGACTCAAGCCGGCATGTGAATCAGGGGGCGTGGCTTTGGTCAGAGACTTGAGGGGAGGGGGTGGGTTTAGAGGTGAGGCTACATTCAAATCTTGCTTGCCTTTCCAAGATTGCATACCCCAGCTTTAACAAAGGAAAGCAGCACAGTCAGATTAAAAAAAATGTTCGAGGGAAAATCCCCTTCCAGCTTCAACCAGCTTCAACCAGCTTCCTGACTTCAGCAGGCATCCCTCACGTGCGAGGTAGACATAAAGACCAGTTCTTTCTAATCATCCACCCCCACAGGGTCTTATTTTTGTTAAAGTCCATAGTAGTACTGCCTTGAAGGAGAGATTGTATCTTCTTCCTGAGAGTGACAAGGTCCGCAGTTGTTTTTTGGTAGACCTTGATGTTCCTTGTCTCCTACAGGACCCGCTTTATGATGTTTATGATTCTCCACTGATGCCAAAGCTCTGGTGTAATTAGGCCCTCAGCCGGCGGCAGAGGGTGCTCTCGACAGTCAAGGAGAACCTCGGCAGCAGAGACAGAGGAAACAACAAGGCCCCAGTCTGCCGAGCCACACGGCACTCCCAGAACACATGCTGCACATGTTCTGAGTCAGTGGCCCTGTTTTGTGAAGACTAGATGGTGCCTGAACATAAAAAACTTGGTGGGGAGACACAGGTGAGTGGAACACAGTGCCAATCTGTTTGTGGCAAAGTGAACTATGAGTGACGCGAACCAGACTATTGATGGGTCCAGGGCAGGGCCTCCCCCACGGGACTGCTACCGCTTTGACCAGATCTTAGAAAGAGCATGATTACTCCACAAGGGTAGTCCAGCCCTGGGCAATTCTGCCCTGAAAGCAAAGTCTGGTCCCTTCTCCTCCTGAGAAGCCCACATTGCTGCTGCCTCTGCCTTCCCCAACTTCCCAGATCCAGGTCAAGTGGATGGTGTTGTGGTGTCTGGCCCCTGGCTCAGCTCATAGTCATCCTGTCTCTCACCCAGGATAGATCCATGCTGTATTAAAGCAAAGGCACAAGGGGAAAAAAAATCACCCAGGATCACTGTCTCTACTAGTGAGACCCAAATAATGACAGATAGGATGTGACTGATCTGAGATTGGGGAAAATTAACAAATTCTTTCCATTTTCCAGCTATTAAATTAAAATCATGTTGTTTTAAAACTTATTGGATTAAATCGCTATGGAAAAGCAAACCATAAAGGCATCACATTAATGGGAACGTCTGCAGTCGTGCTGGTGTGAACTCTCAGAACTATGAAACTGTCCTTGAGGGAAAAAAATATATGACTATACCCAGCGCTTAATACGCAGTGCTCAATAGTACAAAAATGTTGCATCCTGATTTCCTGTTTGATGGTTTTCCTCGCAATTTGGCTGTCTGCTTCTATTTTGGTTTGTCTCCCTGATGATCAGCATAATGCAAGATTTTTATTCAAAACAATTGACCGTCTGGTGAACCCTCCAGTTGCTGTTGCATCAGCTTCATCCCCCGCTGATTGTGAGAAGTTCTTGAAATTCTTTATTGACAAGATAGCAATCATATGGTCCAGCATCAGTCATGTTCCATTTGTTACTGTTTCGTGCCCATGCTTAAACTTGCTGAGTTGTTTCGCACCGATTTCTCTGTTGGATCTTACTGATACTGTGTCATGTATGGAACCCTCATCCAGTCCCTTGGATATTATACCCACTTGGCTTCTTAAAAGAGTAATGATGGCTATTGGCCCTGACCTGCTTTCCGTGGTAAACCGTTCTCTCTCTACTGGGTGTGTTCCAGACTATTTTAAGATTGCCTGCATTCAACCACTTCTAAAAAAACCAAATCTTGATCCAGCCATTCTTAGTAATTTTAGACCAATATCAAAATTGCCTTTTATTTCGAAAGTTTTGGAAAAAGTGGTCGCAAAGCAACTTTTAGAAGCGGTGGAGACCAACAATATTTTTGAGAAATTTCAATAAGGCTTTAGATGTCAATATAGTATAGAAACGGCTCAACTCAGGGTCACTAATGATCTTTTGATGAATGCTGACACTGGCGACTGCTCATTATTGGTGCTTTTGGATATTAGTGCTGCCTTCAATACAGTTGATCATGTCATCATGATTGATAGGCTGAGAAATTGGGTCGGGCTCTCTGGGTCTGTTCTGAAATGGTTCTCTTCATATCTGTCGAACAGAAAATTTTTGGTTTCCCTCGGTGAAAATGTATCCTCGTCTGTGGTGCTTACTTCAGGTTTACCTCAAGGCTCCATACTTGGGCCTATATTGTTTTGTATTTATATGTTACCTTTGGGTTCTATCATTCGTCAGCATAAAATAGCTTTTCACTGTTATGCTGATGACACGCAGATTATATATTTCAGTAAAATCCACAGATTTCAGCAATGTGTTGGTGTTGCATGACTGTTTAGCTGATGTTCAAAATTGGTTGGCTAATAATGTTTTGCAGTTAAACTCAAATAAAACTGAAGTCATTATACTTGGTCCAAAGTTGGTGTCTGATAAAATCCAATCATCTCTTGGACCTCTTGCTTCTAATAGTAGGCCCCCTTCCCGAAATCTCGCTGTGATATTTGATACTGAACTCAAATTTGAGCTCCACGTTAAGAAGCTTGTACAGTCATGCTATTTGCAACTCCGTAACATAGCTAAAATTAGGTCTGTTCTGTTATTATTCTGTTCTGTTCTTAAAATTATTCATGCTTTTATCTGGTCAAGATTAGACTATTGCAACTCGTTATTTACTTGTCTGAATAAGAAATCTTTGAAGAAACTGCAAGTAGTTCAAAATTCGGCCGCAAGATTGAACACTAGAACAAATAAAAGAGCCCACATTACCCCAATTTTGGCATCTTTGCATTGGCTGCCAGTTCATTTCCGAATTAATTTTAAAATTTTATTAATTACCTTCAAAGCACTCCATGGCATGGCACCAGAATATATAAGTGAGCTTTTAAATCCTTACAGACCTAGAAGACTGCTGAGATCTTCCAAGCAAGCATTATTGGCTGT